ATGGTTTAAAAAATTTGGAGGAGCTTGGTTTGACAAATATCCTATTTTCATTGAGTTTGATTCAACAATTTTAGTGGATATGGTAACAGTTGCAATTAAATGTCATTGGCAATTCTGGTATCTTCTAAATGAGATACTCAATCTCAAGAGGAGATTTGTATCTCAAATTTCCCATGTTTGTAGGGAAGTCAATATTGTGGCGGACTATTTTGCAAATAAAGGGATTAGGGATAGGCTTCAGACAGTCTTCACACCTTTAGATTCTCTCCCAACTCAGGTCAGGTTGCAGCTACTACAAGATTTTAGGCACATCAAATCTTCTAGGAGAAGACTTTCCTTTTCCAATATTTCTTAGCTTGATAGGAGACTTACTTTGATTCATTAATTGTTTTTATTCTAAAGAATAGTGTAACTCCTTTAGAATTTAGGGTTAAGGTATTAAGTCCCCCCATTTGTTGTAAGCTTTAACTATATCAATAAAGTATTATTTTAATTAAAAAAATAATTGCATCTCTGAAGTGGTTTCTAATCAGTAACGAAGCCAGCTCCCCTAGTTGGAGAAACCATCAGGTTGAATATAATGACAATCACCAAAATTCATCACAACTTGTGAACAAAAAGATAAGTGAGCCTTTCAACAGCTAGTTGTAGGTCAGATTTTAAGTGATTTAAATTAAAATTCGATTCTCTAATGATTGTTTTTTTTTATTTTTCCACTCCATATTCAAATTTTTTAAATACTAGAAATAAAATAAAAATCCAATTTGATCTGAGGCTCAACTAGGATTGAATTTCAACAAAATTATTAGTTCAATTTACTCAACTGACCACTCAATTTCATCCTGCCTACCTGTATATCTAAATCGAACTAGATCTCAATCAGATCAGATGTCAGTATATGCAAATCTGCATTTTTGAAACATATTAATATATTTGGACTCGGGTAATTAGTCAAAAGTATTAATTTGCCTATAACTAGTCGAATTCATAACCAGATATGATTCAAGTCAAAATTTGATCTATTGAAAGGATTAACAATGAGTAATGTTTGACAATCTTTGAGCCTTCAATTATAGCTTAGGCCATGAGTTGTTATCTTCGATTGAGGAAAAATGGGGAAAGGAGGATTAGATCAGTGACTTGGTCTGTTGCTGTAGAGAGAAGCAAGATAACTAAAACTGTAGAAAGACTTATGGGAGTGAGTCGCATAAGGTAAGTTTAATGTAAAATTTTTATTTATCAAATAATCTCACACATTGTAAAAGATATAAAATATCCAAATTAGTCAATGGGGGCGAATAATAATTTTAAATTTATTAAAATTTTCAATAAACCATCGATCCTGACTATGCTCTTGTTTCTAATGACATCATTCAATCTTTATATGCATCTTCATGCTTAGGACAAGATAACGACCTAGACACCTAAGATAAATCCTTAGAAAATTTTAAATTAGGTTGATTAGGATGAAAATAGAATTGGACGTAATCCGATTATGACTCCTAGGTGATTTTAAAAGAAATTTTTTCTAAATGATTTATAAGTTTTTAAAATATAGTTTGAGTCACAATTGGACCCCTCTTTGNATCCTTAGAAAATTTTAAATTAGGTTGATTAGGATGAAAATAGAATTGGACGCAATCCGATTATGACTCCTAGGTGATTTTAAAAGAAATTTTTTTCTAAATGATTTATAAGTTTTTAAAATATAGTTTGAGTCACAATTGGACCCCTCTTTGAGCAACATCTTTTAGTTTTCAAGAGGACAAGTTTTTGAATGGTTATATGTTTAAAAAATCTGTAGGGAGCAATCTATGCTCACTTGTCTTCACTAGAGCAGTCTCTTTATGACCCATGGAAGAAAATGGAAAAAGGCCATGAAAGACAATACAGGACTCTCTCTGTGAGCTCATTTGAGCATTCTTTTATGGTCACTCGAGTGGTATTCATGGTTGCTCAAGTGGTGCTGGCCTTTGTCGAGATTGGAACCNGTAGTCTCTTTATGACCCATGGAAGAAAATGGAAAAAGGCCATGAAAGACAATACAGGACTCGCTCTGTGAGCTCATTTGAGCATTCTTTTATGGTCACTCGAGTGGTATTCATGGTTGCTCAAGTGGTGCTGGCCTTTGTCGAGATTGGAACCTATTTTTCATTCCAACGACAATTGCCCTATGATCGCCTTCCCACTAATTGAGCAATCGTTCTTGAATTTGAGTTTTCTTATTTATTAAGACTACTCTTATTCCAGACCTATAAATAGGGAGAGCCTTTTCCATACCTAGGCNACCGCCTTCCCACTGATTGAGCAATCGTTCTTGAATTTGAGTTTTCTTATTTACTAAGACTACTCTTATTCCAGACCTATAAATAGGGAGAGCCTTTTCCATACCTAGGCTAAGCCTTTAGTAATATTTCTACAAGAGAAAATCATACTTTTATATTGAGAGCATCAACCTTATCATAGATCCCTAAGACCCTAAATGCTACCACTAGAGATTCTAACCAACTTCAGAACTTAGAGAAGAAGATCTTGATGGTTTGATTAACCCATTGTTGTGCATACCAAGGATCATTGACGTGTCCATGATTGCTCAAGGCCTAGACGAACCATGAGACGAGGAGGTCCAAGTGAAGCTACACTAGACGTTGAAGAAGGCACTTTGGCAGAGAGACAACAATCAAAGGAACATCTAACCATCCTATTGGTTTAGGTATAAGCCTCGATTACTTGTATGTTGACTTAGCGAGTAGTGGATTAGGCTTTGATGAATCCTAAGTGGTTTCCTGCAGTTTTTCCCAATAAGGGTTTCCGCGTCAACAAATCGCTTATATTCATTATTGATTATTGTATACACTTGTGATTGTTTACACACACACGCACTATGTGTTTGTTGATTTGATTGTTTGATCATCTATTCAACCACAGTTGTGAAAATTGGGTTTGGGGTATTGGGATCGTAGTGAGATTGATTATGAGCGAATTAATTGAATATTAATTAAAACCAATTGTCATGGATTGTGGTGATGAAAAGGATTCCTCATTATTATTTACTAAATCTTTTTGAGAAGAGGTAATTGCGGTGATTTAGGTTATTATTAGTAATCAATTGAGCTTTGAAATGCAAAACCTATTCACCCCCTCTAGGTATAGTGTCTCGAGCTTCACATGTATCTNTGGATTGTGGTGATGAAAAGGATTCCTCATTATTATTTACTAAATCTTTGTGAGAAGAGGTAATTGCGGTGATTTAGGTTTTTATTAGTAATCAATTGAGCTTTGAAATGCAAAACCTATTCACCCCCTCTAGGTATAGTGTCTCGAGCTTCACATGTATCTTCGTGAAGGAAGATCTACATCGGTTTTCCCAGTCATAACAACAATTAGTATTAGAGCATGGTTACTTTGAGATCATACCTTTCTCGGCCTTTTTGCTAAGATCAAATGTAGTATCTATTCTTATCAGTTTAATATTTGATACGTGGGACAATGTCTCACATGATATTAAATTAAATTTTTCAAGGGGATGGTCTACCACNTTGCTAAGATCAAATGTAGTATCTATTCTTATCAGTTTAATATTTGATACTTGGGACAATGTCTCACATGATATTAAATTAAATTTTTCAAGGGGATGGTCTACCACAGTAGCTTGCTATTGGGATCCTCGAGTGTCGCCTTTGCGTTGCACTATTGCATTGGCCTGGCGCACCTCATTTAAAAAAAAAAGACATATCTTATTTTTGCTTACTTGCCTAGTTTTCCTTTAGATATCTTTTGTTACTACTAGTTGTCATTCAATGGAGTCTCAAAAGGAAAGTGGTTCAATTCCATAACCTCCTCTCTTTGATGGTTCTAATTTTGCATATTCGAAAGCTTGCATGAGAGCGTTTCATAAATCTATTGATGGGAGAGTTTGATTGACCGTGCAAGAGGGTTGAAGCCTTCCCACCACCACCATGCAAGTTAAAGGTGGTGAAGCGGTGGTGGAACTTAAAAGGCTTGAATGCAATATTCAATGTCATGACACCCAATGAGTTCCAAAGAATCACAAATTGTGAGATTTAAAAGGAGGCATGGGATATTCTTGTGGTTTCACATGAAGAAACTACAATGGTCAAGATGTCTTGTCTCTAAAGGTACACCTCACAATTTGAAATGTTAAGGACGTAAGAGGAAGAAATTTTTGGCAACTTGTTTGCTAAGTTATGTTATATTGTTAATTCTTCCTTTGCATTAGGTAACAAGATCGACGATGCCGCCACTAATTGAAAAATCTTGAGATATCTACTAGAGAGATTTCATGCTAAGGTGACCTCACTTGAGATGAGTGTCAACATAGCCACGGTATCGGTTGAAGACCTAGTAAGGTTTTTTTTGAATTTTGAGATGAACTTTCTTCCACCCAAGAAAGTGAAGGGTATGGCATTAAATTCCAAAATTGAAGAAGAAGGTAAATTTGTGTCATCCCAATTGGGAGAAGGGGACATAGCCTATCTTGCAAGAAAATTTAATAAATATTGTAAGGCTAGTAGTGTCAAGTCCTCAAGGGCGAAAGGAAATACAAGTACACCTAAGTCTCCTAGAAAGGAAAACAAAGTGGGGGTAGACCTTCTCGACNGTCAAAAGGAAATCCAAGTACACCTAAGTCTCCTAGAAAGGAAAACAAAGTGGGGGTAGACCTTCTCGACATGAGATTTAGAAGATAGGGCAAGGTCTCCAATGCTATCAATGTCGTGGGTTTGGACATGTGGCTTTGAAATTTCCTAGTACTAAAAAGAAGGACATGTCCAAGGATAGGAAGAGAGCCTTAAAGGCTACGGTGAGTGAAANTGGGTTTGGACATGTGGCTTTGAAATGTCCTAGTACTACAAAGAAGGACATGTCCAAGGATAGGAAGAGAGCCTTAAAGGCTACGGTGAGTGAAAGTGAAAATGAGTTCACAACGAGTGTTAACTCCTTTTCGTCAAGTGATGAAAAAAACTTCACCGCCTTTGTAGGTTTCCATTCCTCTCCCCCCAAGAGAAACTTCCAAAGAAGAAGAAAGGGAAGTTGGGTCTAGTCCCACTATTGATGTAGATAACTTAGAAATAGAAGTCTCTACAAGTGAATATAAGACCGAGAGTATTGTGGATCTCCAAGATGCTTATAACGAGTTATACAAGGAGTGTCTCAAACAAGGAAATAAATTGTTTTCATTGAGCACAAGGCTCANTAACTTAGAAATAGAAGTCTCTACAAGTGAAGATGAGACCGAGAGTATTGTGGATCTCCAAGATGCTTATAACGAGTTATACAAGGAGTGTCTCAAACAAGGAAATAAATTGTTTTCATTGAGCACAAGGCTCAAGATGAGTGAAAATGAAAAGAAAGCACTTCATGTGGTTTTAATTGAGTCCAAAGCTTATATTTGTGGGCTTGAGGAGGAAAAGAAGTCCCTTCATGACAAGGTGAGCTTCCTTGAGGGAGAGCACAATGGGCTTTTAGAGTCGAAGAAAGGTCTTGAATTTAAACTTATCAACCTTGATAGAGAAATACATGAAACACAAGGGCTCTTAAAAAGACTTTCCCTAAGCATCAAAAAGCTTGTCAAAATGTTGATTATAAGAAAAAGTGTTGGTCTCAAAAGAGGTTCAGGATTCATTAATGAACATAACACCACTTCTTCCAAGACCATGTTTATGAAGGGTGACCCCAACCCTTCACCCCCACAAGTAAGCACAAGTCCCAGAAAGACTAATAATGGTAAGGGTAAGCATGAAAAGAAAGCGGTTAAAAAGAATACTCAAACCAAATCATTTGTGTGTTTTACTTGTGGAAAGCACGGTCACTATAGTGCAAATTGCATTCAAAATAGGGAAGTCATAGACAAAGATCTCATGCATCTAGCCAAACAATCTAAAGCATTGCAAAATCAAGTTGTCAATCTTTCCAAGCTTTTAGAAAGGTCAAGTGTGTCTAAGTATACTCATGCATCATCTTCACATAGACCACGGGTTAGAGTGCACACGGCTTCTTCTACCCCCAAGATGAAAATTGATCTACATTTTTTTGGGAAGAAAAGAGCTAGTCCTCCATCCATTCCCTGACCTAAACTGAGTTTTAGGAAGGGAAAATGAGATTGGTTGTCAAGGGAGGACCTTGAGAAACTCACCATCTTTAACCAAGTTGGAGGCCCCGACTGCTTCTAATAAAATCAGGACTCCTAAGAAGTAGGAGATGTGAGAGTATGGACCTAGGTGATATTTAATGTATGGACCCTAGGGTCATACATTTTGTACATATTTTTTGTTTATTNTTTTTTTGGGAAGAAAAGAGCTAGTCCTTCATCCATTCCCTGACCTAAACTGAGTTTTAGGAAGGGAAAATGAGATTGGTTGTCAAGGGAGGACTTTGAGAAACTCATCATCTTTAACCAAGTTGGAGGCCCCGACTGCTTCTAATAAAATCAGGACTCCTAAGAAGTAGGAGATGTGAGAGTATGGACCTAGGTGATATTTAATGTATGGACCCTAGGGTCATACATTTTGTACATATTTTTTGTTTATTGTTTCATTTATTTTTCTATATGAAAATACAAAAACATTTAAAATTTGAAAAATAAAAACAAAAAAAAGAAATAAAACAAATTCAAAAAGAATTTTGATGTCAATTTTGACATTCTTTTTAGGATTTATGGTAAAATGCTTTGTGTTTTTCCTTTGTTTTGATTGAATCTTTATGCATTTTTTTTCTTGTACATGTGTTAATTGAAAAAAAAATCAAAAAAATTGGAAAATAAAAAGTTAAAACGATTTTCTTTTGTTTGTTTTATGATCATGGTAATTTTTTTTTTATGATCATGGTAATTCACACTTTGATTTGCATTGAAATTGTCACATCCTTAAATTAAAGTTGAAATATGCATTGCTATGAGTCATAATAGGAGATAGAGAACTTAGTGGCTTAAATCCAATTGCATGATTCATTAGCCAATGTCTCTTTCATCCTAGCATGCTTGGAAAGTATTTACCTTTGAAAGATTCAAAACCAAGTACACGCATGTCATTCACCTTCACACTTAGGAGTTTGATAACTTTGAGTTATTAATGATCTTGAAGGACTCTAAATGTTGGTGATACATTGTGACACCCCCAATTTCGAGGCTATTCATTACCCGTTAAGCCTTATCAATTAACTTAAGGCCTCAGTTCCGATGGACCAATTCCAATGGAATTCCGGCAAAGTCTCCTTTTTACAGAGAGCTCCACACAAAACAAAACTTGTTTCAAGGCAATTACAATGACCTTCCAAGGTCCAATGTAAACATTTAAATAATTTTCATGCCTTAAACATCAACCAACAACTCCAAATATACAAATCTTTCATTTGTCAAAAGAATAGATGCAAATGTTCCCAAATTACATGCATTTACAAAAGAATATACATGTGTTGTATATTTCAAAAATACAAGGCTTCCTAAGTAATTACAATTGGGACTAAAGGTATCTATTAAATCAAAATAGGAGCTCGAACTCTGGCTTTATTGCTTGATCATTTTCCCTAATTCTTGACTCGAACCTAATTTTGTGTCTACGGCTTATAGAGATTGGTGAGTGTCACTCTCCCTTGAGTTCAATGCAAGAAGTGGGGAAATTGTGTGTGGATGAACAAAACATGAATGTGTNATCAAAAAAATTGGAAAATAAAAAGTTAAAACGATTTTCTTTTGTTTGTTTTACTTTGTTTTATGATCATGGTAATTTTTTTTTATGATCATGGTAATTCACACTTTGATTTGCATTGAAATTGTCACATCCTTAAATTAAAGTTGAAATATGCATTACTATGAGTCATAATAGGAGATAGAGAACTTAGTGGCTTAAATCCAATTGCATGATTCATTAGCCAATGTCTCTTTCATCCTAGCATGCTTGGAAAGTATTTACCTTTGAAAGATTCAAAACCAAGTACACGCATGTCATTCACCTTCACACTTAGGAGTTTGATAACTTTGAGTTATTAATGATCTTGAAGGACTCTAAATGTTGGTGATACATTGTGACACCCCCAATTTCGAGGCTATTCATTACCCGTTAAGCCTTATCAATTAACTTAAGGCCTCAGTTCCGATGGACCAATTCCAATGGAATTCCGGCAAAGTCTCCTTTTTACAGAGAGCTCCACACAAAACAAAACTTGTTTCAAGGCAATTACAATGACCTTCCAAGGTCCAATGTAAACATTTAAATAATTTTCATGCCTTAAACATCAACCAACAACTCCAAATATACAAATCTTTCATTTGTCAAAAGAATAGATGCAAATGTTCCCAAATTACATGCATTTACAAAAGAATATACATGTGTTGTATATTTCAAAAATACAAGGCTTCCTAAGTAATTACAATTGGGACTAAAGGTATCTATTAAATCAAAATAGGAGCTCGAACTCTGGCTTTATTGCTTGATCATTTTCCCTAATTCTTGACTCGAACCTAATTTTGTGTCTACGGCGTATAGAGATTGGTGAGTGTCACTCTCCCTCGAGTTCAATGCAAGAAGTGGGGAAATTGTGTGTGGATGAACAAAACATGAATGTGTGCAAAAAGGGCTCCCCAAGCATAGATAGACTTGTAATGTCATGTTTTAGTTGGAATTAATATTCTAAGGTCATCTCCTTAGGGAAGGCGAGGTCGGGTGTTTGAAGAGTGATTTGTAAAAAAATAAAAACTGAAAAATATTGTGATTTGAAGTTTGGTAGTTGTGAATTAAGAACTATGCAAGAAAGCAAGGTTGGCTAATCCATAGAGGTCATTCCAATGGGAATACCAAATCGACTCATTTCATTCAACCAATGGTATCTCAGTGTTTGATTGATTCATAGGAAGTGAGGGACTAATGTAATTGTGTTGGGCAAGAGCATACCCTGTCACAAATCTACAGTGTATCAAAAGCCCACAACCATGTTTGCACTCAACCTAGTCAAACCAAACACTTTGCACTACGAGGAAGAATAGAAGAGAGTCGATTTCACATACCCAAGAGGAAATCCCTTTTGGATTAGCCAACTAAAAGTTTAGCTATGCATGATAAAAGCAAGAACAAACATTAAGTAGAGAAACATGGTAGTGAAATCAAGAATGGACTTGTATTAATGTAAGATAAGGTTTAAACTATAAAAGAAAAGNCGTAGGAAGTGAGGGACTAATGTAATTGTGTTGGGCAAGAGCAAACCCTGTCACAAATCTACAGTGTATCAAAAGCCCACAACCATGTTTGCACTCAACCTAGTCAAACCAAACACTTTGCACTACGAGGAAGAATAGAAGAGAGTCGATTTCACATACCCAAGAGGAAATCCCTTTTGGATTAGCCAACTAAAAGTTTAGCTATGCATGATAAAAGCAAGAACAAACATTAAGTAGAGAAACATGGTAGTGAAATCAAGAATGGACTTGTATTAATGTAAGATAAGGTTTAAACTATAAAAGAAAAGCCATTCATACCCAAAATTTAAAGCTTAAAGGAAACAGGACCCAAATGTAGAAATGAACCACAAGAAAACTTAACTAAACTTAATTACAACTTGATTAAAAGAGATTAAAGTGTAAAAGAGAAAGATTGCATGTGCAATGGAGCTTACTACAATGAAAATGGTGAAGGAAATTGTAAAGCCCAACTTTCTCTCTCTAGAACTTCATCTTCTACCTTGGACCTTCTTTCTCTAAAAGTATGATAATCTAAAAATGTCTGTAGGAACTCCCTATTTTTGTCCATCCCCTCTCTTTTAGCATGAGTGACAGACTTGGAGTGATTGGAAAGAGATTGTCTACCAAAGCTTCCAAAATCAATCAAAAGGTGGTCCTCCTATACTTTTCCAACCACTTCTTCTCTCTCACTTGGCTCCCCAATCCCTCATGCATAAAATCTGGATATAGGGGATAGGAGATCATCATGGAGTGTTAGAAATGTTAGAGCATGGGTTTGGTAACAAAAGGTGAGTGACGCCCCAAAAATCGAAGGTCCTTTATCAATCTATTGATCAACCCATCAACCCGTAGAATACCCATAGATATCATGTAACTCGATATCATGCTACTATGCCCCATTTACCGAGATCCATAATTTAACAAAATTCAAGCAGAGTCTTCTTTGTACAGGGAGCTCTATGCAAAAAACAACTTATGCAATTATACAACATTTAATTACATAACCCATCCGAGGTCCAATATACANTAATGCTACTATGCCCCATTTACCGAGATCCATAATTTAACAAAATTCAAGCAGAGTCTTCTTTGTACGGAGAGCTCTATGCAAAAAATAACTTATGCAATTATACAACATTTAATTACATAACCCATCCGAGGTCCAATATACATCAATTCATACTCCCACATCCTAAATTTATGCATCAAACATAGTTAATATAAGTTCGGTTACAATCATTTCCATAGATTTACATGTCCAAAACCGTTTTCATAAAAGTTTTACAAAACAAAGTTTAAAAGCCACAAGTCGGCTTTTCTTCATCCTTGAGGCCCCAAATACGAGTCGTCCACCAGTATATAACATGTANTCCATAGATTTACATGTCCAAAACCGTTTTCATAAAAGTTTTACAAAACAAAGTTTAAAAGCCACAAGTCGACTTTTCTTCATCCTTGAGGCCCCAAATACGAGTCGTCCACCAGTATATAACATGTACCTAAAATATTTTCCCATAAAGGGTGAGTCACGCTCAATAGGGTTTCTCTTAAAGAGGTCACTCCCCAACCTAAGTGCATATGAAACATCCACATGCAACATTCAACAAGCAGCAACCATTCTAATCAATAATATGCAATTCAATGTTGGAAATCAACATGCTATGCCATGAAATGAGATGAGATTCACTCATGCACTTCAAACCGAGCCCTTTCCGGCTCCCACAACTCAATGCAATGCCAATGTGTATAAATCCACCATTTATGTTGCACATCATATGACCATTATAAATCTTGGGTCTTTCTTGGGGTGGGTATTCATGGACTAATACCAAGGGTCACCCGACCCACATAGAATTCATGGGCTTCCACCAATGGTTCCGTGAACACCCACACACTTTA